ATGCACACAGCAGGAAGACACAGTGCCACAGCAGTCCAGTCATTTCCACTGCTTCAGTCTTTGTCAAGATGTTTCTTATGATTCTTCATCCCCATCCTCCATCATCCTCCTCTCCTCATTTAAGATAAAAACACATCAGAGGTCCGTGACCTTGTTCTCCACCAAGGCGGCGACCTGCTGCAACCGATAGGCCAGCTGCATCTTCTGCCCTGAACTGTCCTCCTCCAGAGACATGATGATCTGAGCAGTAGACACAGTACAGAGAGTTGGACAAGTGCAGAAGTGTAAGATTAGTCTAGAGAGCTGCTAATAACCAAATACATGTTTGTTTCTTTTTTTGTAATCTGTCATTTTAACCACTGGATTGCAAAAATGCAATGTAATCTGAATACTTCGTGATTTCTTCAGAAGAAAAGAGTGCACCTGTTACCAAGTATTTTATTTATATAATACACTTAATGCACTGCAAATGTATATAAAACATTTGTAGTGCAATTAAAGTGCTAAGTGAGAACTTACAGGTGTTCACAGTAAATAAACTTTATACGAACTATTCAGACACAAACTGTTTCTTAATCAGAAGACTTGTGGAGGACTCACATATTGTAGTATAAGATAAGTTTTCCCTCAGAACTACTTTTATATTTTATTTTTCCTATAAATAAAAACAAATAAAATGGCTATTTTTTCACAGATTATCATAAAAAACAGATAATGATCTGGCAGCGTGACTTACTTGGATACACTGACTTCAACATTTAGATTTATTTAGAAACAGATGCTGAGATAAAATCAGATTTACTGTTCTGTTTCTTTTCTTGTAAATAAAATAATTTATTTTTTATTTTATTTTATTTAAAAAAAGTTATCAGGTAAACCTGACAATGAACCTGTAATCTACTTACAGTTGCTTAAAAAAAAAGTCAGGGCTGAAAATAGATTTAGTGAGAGGTGAAAATGCCTGTCAGACGATCCTATTCTTTACTGTTTTTATCACTTTTATATAAATACCATGTAGCACTCTCTCACAGTATAAGGCCCTCATTAATAGGTGGCACCTTTATTTTTAACTATGTTGCTTATTTATTGTAGACTCCATTATTTTTATTTTTATCTTGCTGCTGTAACACAATATTGATGCCACAAGGGAAATTAAAGTATTAAAGTATCCATCTATTGATCCGTCCATCTACATTCATCCCAATAGCATCCAAACCATTACCAGCCCATAGCCTGTGTGTGTGTACATGTTTAGACATCTATGTGAGGACAGAAAATTTGCATGCTACTAAAATTGTGGAGACCAACAGTCACTTACGGGGACAAAATACCCATTCCTACGAGTTTGAAGGCATGTTTGAGACTCAAAATGTGGTTTTAGTGTCAGGTTGAGGGTTA